ATTAATTCTCCAGCTTTAGATTCTTCAGCTTCCTTTTGCTTTAAGTTGTTATATAACAACTTCCCTTTTTCTTGAATCACATTACATTCTATAGGTATGCCTTTCTTTTAGCAATCCTGCTCCCATATAAAAGCTGCACCACCAATACCAAATAAAAATACATGTTTCTCACCTGCTGGTGAGAAAAACAGTGCGAGGTTGTCTCACCTGCTGGTGTAGCTGCAGTGAAGTCTTTACGAATTTTCTTTTCTTCTTCTTCTTCTTCTTTTTTTTTTTTTTTTAACAATGTTCTTACACTGGATGGATTCATTTATCTTGAAAAGGTAAGCAGCTGCAGCTGCAGACCTCAATCTATGCTACATATCAAGCAATTCAACTTTTTCTCATAATGTCATGATTTTTCTTAATTCTTGGGAGTCCTTCCAGCATCACTATTAGCACTTCATATGGGTCCCATGGTGTTATTCAAGATTTACGGAATTGCCCTAAATACAATGAAACATATGCAAGAACCATGAGAGATCGCTTTTTGCTGTGATACACAATTTACTGGAGAAACTAGCTGCTCATGTGGAGACGATTAGTGTCATCAGATACTTGTAACACTCGAGCTCACCGCAATAGCAACAGGAGGTCGCTGAGATATTATTACCATAGTACAATATGCACTACAATTAATTTTATGCAGTTATTTAATATTACATCTTTATGTTTATTCACATTTCTTTCAACTGTGAACGGTGCTATTTATGGTCTGTAGGTGTTTGTGTGTATAAGTTTTAGTACATTTTAATTTTTATCATACATATTTTTAATGATAAAATGGACTAGTATCTACATATACTTTATGCACTCATAACATACCTAACTTTTTCTTTCTTTCTTTTTTCTTTTGAGAGGGAGTTTCGCTCTTGTTGTCCAGGCTAGAATTGCAATGGCATGATCTCGGCTCACCGCAACCTCCGCCTCCCGGGTTCAAGCGATTCTCCCGCCTCAGCCTCCCGAGTAGCTGGGATTACAGGCATGCACCACCATGCCTGGCTAATTTTGTATTTTTAGCAGAGACGGGGTTTCTCCATGTTGGTCAGGCTGGTCTTGAACTCCTGATCTCTGGTGATCCGCCTGCCTAGGCCTCCCAAAGTGCTGAGATTACAGGCGTGAGCCACCATACCCAGCACTTTTTCTTAATTTTTTCAATATATCTGAGCTACATGGTTTGTCTGAGAGTTAAACTGTGGCAATCTCCAAAAAAACTTTGCAATACATTTATTGAAGGAAATCTGCATAAATGGACCTGTGCAGTTCAAATTCAAGTTGTTTAAGGGTTAACTAGTAATTTATCATTATTATCATTATTCAATTTGGGGAACTTTCGCACCAATTCTCAATCTGATATACTAGGATACCATAGAGTTGATAACTCTTCTGATTGGCAGCGAAATGTTCAGAGGCATTTTTTCCTCCCATTGGTCGGTTCCAAACAGCCCATTACCAATTTATCATTGATTCACAGAATCTCAGGTTATAAGAGATCTTAGAGATTAATTTCTAGCAATGGATATAGCAGAGGAAGAAATAAGACGTCTCATAAGGCAAACTCTGCCCAGAATAATTCCAGTTTGCAGAGTTTCAAGATGGGTCCTTATGGAGTTCTTTTTCCCTTCTCCTTCCATTAAACTGCTTAGATTTCTTTCTGTTCGTTGCATTTTCAGTGAAGTTTTCTTTTAGAGATTTAAGGGACTTTGGCAGACAGGCCAAACACTAGTGGGGCCTCATTATCAAGTAATATGTTGCTAAGTATAAGACAGGGTAAAATTGAAAACTGCCTGGTGTCCTGCCATATGGCACGTTACAGAGGAAGAGTCAAGGGGCAAATCTTGCAGTTCGATTCTTCGCATACGAAAAGAAAACACTTATGCAAGACTTGGATTTTAGCTTCTTTACAACGTTAGAAATGGTTTTCCATCAACCACTACTAGTCTATCAGTTCTTCCTTCCTTTGGCTAGTGAGACATTTGTAATAGAATTGACTGTCATAACCGTCAGAGGTTAAGGTCATGAAATATGACAGATTCTTTGCTGTTGCAATTGGTGCTTATCTGGAAGCTTCCTTCTTGGCCAACAAGGCTCTACCCAAGGAAGCTAATGAGTTTATTAAAGTAGATCCCAAAGCAGGAAGCAGAATGTGCCTATTCATCAATGGAAGTGGGACTTCTTTTATACCGTTTAGGTTTAAGAATCACAATTTTTGAAAATGGACTTATGGAACTGTGATATAACTGCAAAAGCTATGGATAATAAGAGGAATGAGTCTACATCCATATATTTGATTTAACAGATGAATGAGGGTTCAACTCATTTTTTTAAAAAAAAACAGGGCTAGGTTTTCCCTTTAAAATACATATGCATTGAAATGAAAGAATATGCCCTTTGATTAAGTTTAAATGCTGGCCCAGGGATTAGTTTACAAAGCAGAAAAGTGGTTTGCCCACTTCCTACCTCATTTTCCAATTCTCTCTCATGTTCAATGCAGCGAATGTTACATTTGTGTGTGCCAACCAGGGCATGCTCACAGAAGGAAAGGGTGCTAGTGGAAAGAAAAAGAAAGACACCAAGGAGAAAAAAATATTAATGATCAATTTTTCCACCCCAAGAAAACAATCTACAGGCTCCAGAAGACCGGGTGCAGTGATTCCTCTCCATTTCATTCAGAATTTGAAGCCCAGAGACAACACGGCTTTGAAAGAGAAGCATTTTGTGCTGCCTTTGTAGTCCGAAACAATAACAGCTCCTGAGTCCCAAAGAGAAACCCGTAGGGCATCCTTCAAACTTGTTACAGAGTACCTTATGTAGTGGCAACCCTTCTGTGGATCATGTGAGACAGGTTCTTCCTCCTACCTGAAATGCCCACAATTCTGAATTTAAAAAAAAAAAAAAAAAAAAAGGAGATTGTCCTTTATATGTGTATTGAGATGTGGACCTTGACTGAAGTCTTATCCCATCTGAAATTTACCATCTTCAAGAGGGATAATCCAATGTCCCTATGCATAGATGCAGATCGTCAGAGTTAACAGTGTTGTAATAGATTGTGAACTTTTGGACTCCATGGCTGGGGAAGGAGAAAGAGATGTGTCTACAGGGACTGGCTAGTAGGGAGACTGTACCAAAACTCTAAAGCACAAGCATACTGCTTATGTTTTCCTCTTAATAATAATAGGCCAGGCACGGTAGATCATGCCTGTAATCTCAGCACTTTGCAAGGCCAAGGCAGGCAGATCATCTGAGATCAGGAGTTTGAGACCAGTCAACCCTGTCTCTACTAAAAATACAAAAATTAGCCAACCTGTAATCCCAGCTACTCCGGGAGGCTGAGGCAGAAGAATCGCTTGAATCTGGGAGGCGAAGGCTGCAGTGAGCCAAGATCACACCACTGCACTGTAGCCTGGGCTACAGAGCAAGACTCTGTCTCAAAAATACATACATACATACATACATACATACATACATACATACTTACTTACTTACAATAATAAACCACATTTACTCTAGAATATTCAGAGATTCTGAATTCCACTAATTTTTTTGTGTCTCCCCCTTCCCCTTTCTCCAGTGTACAGCACAATTCATAGCACATGCTAGGTGCTCAAAACAGATGTGTTGAATCAGTCAAATGAATACAATACATACCCTTCTGCACATGTTTTCTTCTGATCTTCTATTTCTTCAGCTATAATGTGGGGATGATGTTATTTCGTGGATTTGTTTTCAAGATTAAATAATATAGCATCCCTTATACAATGTGTAAAATGTCAAATGCTATGCTCAAAGGTACTAGTAGAATTTTAAGTCTGCAGGTATGTTTCAGATTAAAAAAAAACCAGTACCAAAGCTATAGGTGGGATGAGTTAATTAATCTCAGACACATTTAACTAACAGGAAGAAAGAAATAGGGCATGGTAGGAGGAAAGAAAGGGGGACAGTTGGGGATATAGTGAATACTTTTAAAGTAAGTTGAATTATTTCATACGGGATAATTTTTCTTGTCACAATAAATCACCCTGTGCCCCACCCCCGCTCCAGGAAGGCAGGGAGGTTGTAAAGGAGAAGCGAGAAGAGGGTTAATTTGAGCTCCCGTCTGCCTGCTGCAGTCACAGTGCATGATAGAATAATGAAGGGCCACATATTTCATCTGAACTTCCTCTGTGGTCTTTTTTATATTAAAGTCTTTCACTGTTACAGGACTGTGCTTGGAAAAGTTGGAAAACTTTTCCCTTGGTGTAGAAAAGCCCTCATCAGACGCAATCCAACAAATGAATGGAGTTATTTCCTTGGCCCAACATGTCCATCCACTGGCATACGAAATATTCATAGAAACATCTTTCCTCACTTCCAAGGCCGGAATTTTACTCTCCCCTGGCGTTGCCTAGTATCGGATGCGCAGATTTCGAAAGCGAGCAGGCAACAGACTTGGCTTTCGAGCCACCGTGGTTGGCTTCTCTAGGAGTCGATGCGACTTACTGTCCTGTGTGGTAACTTCTCCCGGGAGCAGAATGTGTAAAATAAACAGTTGCTGAAAAGCATGAAGAATTAACGAAGTGAAAATCTCGAGCTATTTGTTCGGCAATTGACACGCAAGTGACCTGCTTAAATGCCTAGTTATTTAAGGACGTTTAGAACGAGGATGAATGAATCTTCAGGGCGCTTACTTCGCACCGGCGTGTAAATTTCTTTAGTCTTTCGGGAAGTGGCGGTAAATTCATACAAATCCAGCAGGGAGGGGAGAAAAGAGGGTAAAACCACGATCTCGGGGCGCTCTTCTCAGTTCTTTGGAAAGACTTGCCTTTGCTGCCCGGAACCCTGGAGGTTACAGCTGGGAGAACCCGGAGGCGCTAGGACCTGGTCGGCGCCTGGCTGCGGCCGCTTTCAAGAGGGCGGAGGAGGGAGAGGAGGAGGGGGATGTGGGAAAGGAGGGGTGTTAAGGGGGGCGGGGGAAGTCATTTATGCAGAGCAGGAGCTGCTGCCATTGCCACTCAGAATCCCCGCGCGCTGCTCAGAGCCGGAGGGAGCGCTGGGAGCGAGCAAGCGAGCGCTCGGAGCCCGAACGTGCGGAGGGAAGAAGGAGGGCGGGCGAGGGAGGCTCGGGGAGGGAGGAGCGCGGGGGGGAGGAGGAGGCAGAGGAGGAGGTGGAGGAGGAGGAGGAGGAGGACCGCGCTGCCGGCGGAATGGGAAGTTTGACAAATCGCTCCAGAGGCCGGAGGAGGAGGGGGCGGGGAGGAGCGGCGGC